TGCCTCCGAGTGGGTTTCAGGACAAACCCGGGCTGAAGGTGAGAACCAAGGCTTGATGCCAAACAGAAGCAGAATGGGCAGGAAAAGAAGCGGACAAACAAGACTGCACCACGAGAATCGGGAAACCCGAACAGACCAGGATGTGAAGGCTGACTGGACAACCGAAGACCACTCGGCGGCGAAGAGAAACCCAGCCCCGGAGGCCTCCACCCCACATGCGGGCACACCCTACGCCCCCTCCAAGAACTCTACTGAATCAGCCACAGAATGCTCCCACCCATTTTATGAGGAGCAGCATCGTCCTTCCACCAGACAAGGACACAGAAAAGAGAATTCCAGCTCAACATCCCCACTGGGCACAGGTGCTAAAAGCCTCAACAAGGTACTAAAGAACCCAACTCAACAGCACAGGAAGAAAGAATTTGCCCTGGGACATAAGGAAGGTTCAACACATGTACCAACAAACAGGATGCACCACACTGAGAAAATGGAAGCTAAAACCACAGAGTCATCTCAATACAGCAAGGAAAAGCTTTGGACAAAGCTCAACTCCCACTCGTAAATAAAATTTTAAAAACTCCACAAGTGAAGCACAGAGAAACGTTGCCTCAGCACAGGAAAAGCCCACGTGACAAACCTGCAGCTAACATCACAGTCAGGATAAAAAGCTGGAAACTTCCCCTTAAGACAGGAGGCAGCCAGGAGGACCACACTCACTCTCTTCAGGACAGTCGTGGCTCTGCAGCCAGAGAATTACAGAGAACAGAACAAAAGGCACACAATAAAAAAAAGCAAATTACCTCCCTCTGCTAGTCATATGACCTTACATACAGAAAATCTTAATGCAGAAAAGTTATAACTAATAAATGAACTCAATGAAATTGCAGGACAAAAATATCAACATACAAAAAGCATTATACACTAAACTATCTGAAAAAGATAGTGCATTAAGAATACAATCCTATTTACAATAACATCAAAAAGAATAAACGCAAGCCAGGCATGTTGGCACACTCCAGCAAACCAGCACTCAGGAGGCACGAGGATTGCTGGGAGGTTGAGGCCAGACTGGGCTACGCAGTGAGACCCTGTCTCAAAAACATAAAAAATAAAATAAAATCTAAATCTAATCTAAAATCTAAATAAAAATAAAATAAATCTAAGATAAAATCTAGTGTATGCCTGTAATCCCAGTACTTGGCAGTCTAGGGTAGGAAGAGAGACAGACAGACAGACAGACAGACAGACAGACAGACAGACACAGAGAGATAGAGACAGAGAGGGGAGAGAAAGAATATTTAGGTATACATTTAATCAAGGAAGTAAAAGATCTTATACATTAAAAAGTATAAAACAGTGATAAAAAATTAGAGATAAACTAATGGAAAGGTGTCCCACATTTGTGAACCGGAAGAATTAATACTGTCAAAATATCTATCCTACTCAAGGTAACCTGCAGAGTCCATGCAAGAGCTGGAGGGTGCCTGTCACTGCAGCATTCTTTCTAAGTTCCAGACCAGCCTGGGCCACAAAGCAAGCTCAAGGCTGCCTGGGTCACGTGGTAAGAGCCTGTCTCAAAAAGAACAGCAGCCAACGTGCTCTCCATCAGAACCCCAGCATCTTTCACAGAAGAAAACCCTAAATGCGATGGTTGTACCCAAAGACCAGAGTGCAAGGTGTCATGCTTCTTGACCTCAAAGTGCACCCCAAAGTACATCAATCAAAACAGCATGACACCGACATGGAAATATTTGCGACGAACGGGCCAGAACCTAGAGATCCACGCGGAACGACCACATGTGGTCGCCTGACCTTCAGTGAGAAGCTGAGAACACAATGGGAAGGGCAACTCCTCCATAAACAATGGCCACACACACAGGGAAGGAACCATTCCTCAGGCCACACGTGAGGTCAAGGTAGACTGAGATGTAAGCAGAAGCCCCAGAAAGACACTCCAATACCCAATACATAGAACACTGCTCGACTCCACTCACCAGGGAACACACATCGGAGCCAGGTGAGCTGCCATGGCATGTGTCATGGTGGCCGCTGACCACTGACAGGACCGGAAGGGAGAGGCTGGAGCCAGGGCTGGAGGGGGGTGGAGAGGGGAGCTTTGCCCCTGGGCCGGCTGTGATGAAAGCAGCACAGGGCAGCCTCAAACACTGCAAACCAAGCACTGAGGACCGCAACACTGTGGACCCGCCCAATGGCACCCTGTCAGGGTCGCAAAGAGCCAGTGCCACACTCACAGCAGTGCCACAGTGGGAGGAGCACAACCCAAGGGTGACCACAGCCAGGTGGCCCCGTGCACATGACCAGCGCAGATTCTAGGACCGACAGGAACATGGTCATAAGGACCTGGACGGCCCAGAGAACGGTGGCCAGCATGAAGGCAGTGTGCGTGCACATGAATTCCTCAGTTCCTTTAAGCCCCCCAACCCCACTCAAAGTGATTTCCTAAAATGAGGACATTATTGGTGGAGGTGGCACTGCACATCTGTGACGCCAGCTGCTTAGGAGGCCAAGTCATGAGGGTCACAAGCTCATGGCCAGCTTAAGCAATTTAGGGAGTCCCGTGTCAGGGAGATTTGAGGAAAGGCAGGAGAGAAGACAGGGCAAGAGAAGGAGGGAGGAACAGAAGAAGGGAGAAAAGGAGAGCTGGAAGGAAGCGGGGAGGAAGGAAGGAGAAGGAAGGCAGGGGGAGAACTGTTGGCACCTGGCGGCCACCTGGGTGCGCAGTAGGGTGGGAAGGAGCAATGGCTCCCATCTTCTTAGGTGAGACCCTAAGCCTGCCTGACAGATGTGAGGCTTGGGTGTCACCAGGCCCTGGCGACAGGGTGGGCGCCCTCCTGCGCGCTGCTGACAGCTGGCACTGTGCTGGCACCCCCATTTGCTCGCAGGAAGTCGGCCCAGCACCCCTCGCCTGCTCACTGTTCCTAGGCCAGTCTGGAGCTCACAGCTGCTGAGGAGTCAGCTGAGGAAGCTAGGCCTGAGCTCCATGTCCTGCAGGGGCAGTGCACACAGGCACAGGAAGCCAGGGGGCGCGGGACAGATGTGTGTACCCTGCTCACACAGACAGGCAGGGCCACATCGCCGATGCCTGTCCTGCTGGCTGGCTGGCAGCCTCCAAGGCAGGAAGCACTGTCCGAGGCCGGCGCATGCATTCACTGCGTGTCAGCCACTGACTAGCAAACAACAAGCTTTTGTCTAAGACATCTCGCTAAACAGGACTCACAACGAGGCCTGTTCTGCTTCTGGGCTGTTACAACCTCAGAGCAGAGTTTGCACATCAGGTAGTTACCTAACGAAGCCCCAGGAGCCGGCGATGTCTGTTAGAAGCCACAGAGATGAACGCACGATAGTGCAAGTACTCGGCCGAAGTTCATCCAGTGTGCCTAACGGCAACCACGAGCCCAGCCTGGGCAGCTTGGCAAAATCCTGTCTCAAGTCTTTAAAAATTAGTAATAATGAAATGATGAGGGCTAAAGACCTAGCTCCATACAAATCTCAACCCCTGTACTGCAAAAAACATAAAATTTTAATTCCATTTTCTCAAATTTCCAAGGTGCTTCGTTATCTCCCAAGCCCAGCACAAGAGGCCAAAACATAGAAGCACCTTGCTCCCTACCAGCCTTGCCAGCTGTCTTGGGAGGGACCAAAACCCTGTCCTTCTCTTTCTTGACCTCTCTTTCCAAACATGGCAAAGCTATCACCCCAGGGACAGAAGGAGGCGGAAGGTGCTGGTCCTCTCTGGCAGACAGTGTCTCCTCTGGGAAAGCAGGGGGGAGCGGCAGGCCAAGCCCCGTGGCCACTATGAGCGAACACAGACTTCTCAGGTATCAGAGGCGATGCCAGGGCTGGGGCATCACAGGAGCGAGATGCCCACACATGCCCTCCCACATATGGCTGTGCCTCCGTGCCCCCTTTCCTTGGTGCCATGCTGGCCACAGCCAGCCATGCTCACCGTTCCCTTGCTGTGCCTCTCCCAGGGTGTAGGCTGTCTCTCCTGACAGCCCCGTGACAGGCTGCCTGGACAGCTGATGTCCTGTGGAACTGTGCTGTGAGCTCCAGGCCAAGGCGGGGCAGGAAGGCGGCTCAGCGAGGGGTGAGGGCACTGCCTGAGCTGCTGGTCGAGGTATGAAAAGCCACCCTGGGAGAGGCACAGCAAGGGGAACAGTGAGCATGGCTGGCTGCGGCCAGCATGGCACCAAGGAAAGGGGGCACGGAGGCACAGCCATACGTGGGAGGAGCAGGCCCAGGAGGACTCTACCTGGGCACCCCAGCCATGCCCAGGAGGGGCCAGGAAGGGCCTGGAGCCCAGGAGAGGAGAAGCTTAGCTCTACTCCAAAGCCAGCCCAACATGCTGGCTGCAGGAGATGACTGGTGAGAGAAACAGGGGCTCTGCCTGGGTGTCTCTGTGACCCCGACATTCACCAAGAGATGCCGACAAGGGAAGAGCAGCTTTCAGGAAGACAAACCCACAGCCCAGCTGCAGGAGACCCTGACATCTCTTCTAACCCAAGGAACTGAAGTGGAGGTGCTGACCTTAACGCTCACGCGGAAGCCTGGGACCCAGAACAGCCAAAGGCGGCTTTGGCCTCGAGAAGGCATGAGGCTGAGGACACTCCCACGCGACTTCAGAACTAGCACACAGCCACAGTGATCAGGACAGCGGGCCCAGCATGTGGTGGGGTGCCTGAGGACCACGGAGTTGGGGACCAAAGCCACAAGGGGAGGAAGAGCCCAGGCCTCCACCCCTGTCCATCGGCCTTGGGCCTCCTTGCTGCGTGGTGCTGCAGCAGAGCTGGGGCCTGGCCGCACAGGGACCTGTCACTGTCCAGCCTACCTCAGCCTGTCCGGGCAGGGAGTCAGCAGGGAGATGGCTGACGGGGCGAGAAGCGGGGCCCAATCACATGGAGACCAGAGAAGTCCTGGACCCTCCCATGGGGTGCCCCCCCACAGACTGCCCCCCATCGTGCCATGGGGTGTCCCCTCACCTAGTCCTGCTCCTGCGCCCCGCTGGCCTTGGATCTCCAGGCACCAGCAGTCTCAGCACTTCCCGTCCCCAGAGGACAGGCGGGACCTGTGTGTCAGCCCCGCCCCGTGGAGGTAGAGGGACCCTGGGCTGTCGCCCCGGTGCCAATGACTCTGCAGCCCCTTCCGGATGGGTGACTGGGGTGGTGGCCACAGGCGTCACGGCTGCTAAGGGGCCAGCTTTGGGGGCTCCCAATGGACAGCAAGGGTCTCCGCACGGATGGGGACAGAACACACAGGAAAACCGAATGTGGCTCACAGGGAGCGGAAGGAACGACGTGGCAGCTGCTCATAGCCTGGATTCGCAGGAGAAACGGGAGGAAGGGGGAAGCAGGGTCCACAGGCAGGCAAGGCTCTGAGCCCCTTGGCCATGTGCCCCCCCAGCATTGCACTCAGCACCACTGCCACCTGCACTGACCCCGCCCTGCCAGTTACCCTCCAACTGGAGTTACTCCGTGCACCGAGCATCTCAGAGGTGTCCTCCAGAAAGCCACCTGGGATGGCCCCAGGAAGTCACCAGTTGGGACTGCAGGGCTGCATGGCAACAAGGTCCTGTGTCCATGCAGGGCTTTGCAGGAGCTATGCCCAAAGCTGGAGGCAGTGGCGCCAGGTTTAACGGTCACCCAGGGAGCAGCCCAGTTAGGAAGGAGGGGCACGGCAGAAGCCAAGGGCCGGCAGAGCAGGCATCTCAGTCTGGCTCCGTACTGCTACAAAGAAAAGCCCAGGAGCTTCCTAACAAAGGAAGTTTGCTGGGCTCCTGCTGAGAGCTAGAAAAGAAGACACCAGGAGGGTGGTGCATCTTGGGAGGGGGGTGGTTTCCGGGCCAGCCAACCTCTCACTTTTTGCCTTTTGGTTTGTACTGAACATTGGACAGAGCTTCCTGCTGAGCAATAAAGGAAGTAGGGGGTGGGGACGGGACTGGCTCCTGCCACTAGGACTTCCTGAGTGCAAAAAGTGAGCAGGCGGGAGCCAGGATCCTTCACCAGGGAGAAGAGCAGCTGGGAGCATGCCCCCCGGCTCAGCCACTTGCAGGCTGAGACAGCAGCAGCTTGAGCCCAGGAGGGAGACCAGCCCAAGCAGCGCAGCAAGCCCTGGTCTGACAAGCACAAAGAGCAAAGTCACCGAGTGTTCCAGCAGACAGTCAGGGACACCAGATCTAGACTTCTGAGGCCACAGAGGTGTAGGGTAGGGTGGGCATGGTGCGGCCCAGAGCGGGCCAGGGCCAGGTCCTCTGCATCCCATCACCTCCTGCAGCCCTCAGTACGCACCTCAGAGCTGCAATGGGCCAGGTACTCATCTCAGTCCTCATATCGAAGATGAAGAAACTGAGCCAGGCCCTGTGACCCTGGTTGGATTGCAGATGTGAGGCACAACTGGTTTAGAACTTTGAGCTCGGGGCCGGGGAGATGGCTCAGTAGAATAAACACTTCTCTGGCAAGTGCAAGGGCCTGAGTTCAATCCCCCGTTCTGTCAAAAAACACACAACTTGGAGCTCAGCGGAGAGGACTCTCAGCCTGGAGACTGGAGAGGCCACCAGCACCAGGATCCATCAAGGGACAGGTGGGGTGCACTGGTGCCATGGCCACAAGGAAGAGGGCATGGCTACATCAGAGGTGATTAGGAGGAGGCTGAATCCGGAAGATGCGGCTCTAGGGTGGGGAAGTCCAGGGCAGGTGGGGAAGCCCACAGCAGGAGGAAGCCCAGGTTACCTGGCCAGGGCAGAGTGAGCTCAGGGTTTCCATTAGCAAGCAGGCAGCTGGACTAGTACCTAGGTCCTGGGGCCAGGCAGGGAGCCACCTGGGACGGCCACGGCTGAAAGGAGCTCAGGTACCCAGTGCCTTTTTGGGGCCGGGACCAGGAGACACCTGGGGAGAGGTCTCCACATCCCAGCCCCCCACTTTAAATTTTGAGACAGGCTCTCGCTAATAACCCAATAATCTATTAAAGCTAATAAGAAAGATATGGAAGTGTATAAGATCACACAGAAAGTACTTGTGTTTCTACATATCAGCAATGAAAAATGAAAAAGAACACTAAGGAAACTATTCCAGGGGGCCAGGGAGATAGCTCAGTAGAGTAAGTGCTTGCCTGGCAAGCGCAAGGGCCTGAGTTCAATCCCTGGTTCTGCAAAAAAAAAAAAAAAAGAACGAAAGAAAACTATTCCATTTAAAATAGCTTGAGGTGAGATGGTCCAGTGGTCTAAAGCACCTACTTAGAACAAGCTAAGCTAAGCAAAAGCACAGGGACTGCGGTTCAATCCCCAGCACCACATGCCAGCCAGCCCTGCCCCCTGGTGGGCTGAGCTGGCCACACACACACAAAATAAATAAATAAATCATTCATTCATTCATTCATTCATTCATTAAAATAAATAAATAAAACAGCCTGAAAGGCCAGCTGGCAATACACACCTCTCATCCCAGTACTTGGGAGGCTGAAAAGTGATGGAGGTCTTGACGTTTCCCCAGAGAAGGCCAAGGCCTCCATATTGGTAGCCATTAAATCCCAGGGCTGGCCAAATAGCTCCTCGGACTAGAGCAACTGCTTAGCAGTGCTCAGCAGCTGCAGGCCCTGCCCCCGGGCACTGGGCACAGTGGTGTGCGCCTGTAATCCCAGTGCCTGGGAAGCTGAAAACAGAAGAATCACTACAAGTCGATCTCTATAGTGAGACCCTGTAGACGCTGTACTAAACACACACACACACAAAAAGGAATCATAAGCTAGGTGTGGTTACCAGAGGCTGAGGCAGATACATGGCTAGCTAGAGCGCAGCATACACAACTTAAGTGTTTAGCAACTTAGCAAGACCCTGTCTTAAAATAAAAACATGGAACCGAAAACATAGCTTGAAAAAACGGTGCTAGGTTTAGCCCTTAGGACAGAAAAACAAAAAGTGCAAATTAGCACCAGGCATGGTGGTGCATGCCTGTGATCCCAGCACCTGGGAGGCTGAGGCAAGAGGACTGCTGTAGTCTCTCCTGGGCTACACAGCAAGACCCTGTCTCAAAACAACAAAAATTAAATTAAATCCAAAACCAAAAACAGATGAGACATAGTTTGAGGGCAGAGCACTTGCAGTATGCATGTGGCCTGGGTTCCATCCACAGTACTAAATAAAAAGAAAAATGTGCCTCAGACCCATAGTGGGAAACTACTCTCCCCCCTCAGTCTGGCCCTAAGAGAGGGGGGAGGAGGACGCTGGGGTTGGCGGAGGCAGGGAAGGAGCAGGTGCTGACCAGGCACGGGGAAGGCGGAGCCCTCCACATTGCTGCCCCTGGGTCTACTAGTACTTGTCTGGGAAAACAGCTTGGAGTCTGCAAAAAGAGACACCTGACAGCTGACCCACTGGAACTGGAGAGTCAAGCACTCACATGAAGTGCTCAGAGCATGCTGCTGACAGTGACTGGACAGCGGAAGCCACAGAGGTCCCCCCGTGACATGACATCTGTACACTGGAGTATCAATCAGCACTATAGCATGAAACAGCTGCACACAGTAGCACCTGCCTATATCCCGGGCAGTGTCCCTGAGAGGGCAGTGTATGAAACTGTATGAAGCCAAAGGTGCAGTAGAGGACCCCCAGGGTGGAGAAGCCAGGACTGTGTACCATCCTAGGAGGAAGCAAAGCCAACAAAAGGCCAGGAGTGCTGCAGGGGCCGAGCTGCCCAAGCCCTCTGGTGCTCACATCATGCCAGTTGCTTTGGATGCTGCACAGGGAACTACAGAACTTAATGCCTGCCCTGCTGGGTGTTGGACTTGCTTTGGTCCCAACCCTCTCTATTCCCCTTTGTAACTTCTGGAATGGCAATGTCTAGCGTGTGCCACTGAATACTGGAAGGGTTTCACTTTCTTTTCACTAGTACCGGGACTCACAGTTAAACATCTGTCTTAAATATCTCTGACTTGGACTTTTCAGCAACGCTAAAACTGTTCTGATTGGGGCCGAGGAGACAGCTCAGTAGAATAAGCGCTTGCCTGGCAGGCACAAGGGCTTGAGTTCAATTCCTGGTTCTGGGGGAAAAAAACCCCAAAACCTTCTGACTTTGGAAACACTTAGAGATGGATTAAATGCCTGTTGCATAAAAGGATGTACAGGAGTCCTTGAGCGTCCAGAGGTGGCAGGCTGTGGTTTGTGTCTAGGTCCTTGTAAGGACTCATGCTGTCATAGAGTGGATCTTGAGAGTCCAATGCTGGGATTAAGGGTGCGTGGTACTAAATTAGTGCACTGACTGGTTTGACACAGTTCTGGGTGTAATGGGAAGGTCTCCCCTGGACAGAACATAAAGGACAGAAAGCAGGCTGTGCTGCCTTCTGCCTGCCATGAGCCTGTGATGCCCTCTGCCATGTGCCAACCTGCCTCAAAGCCAGCCCACTATGAACTAAAACCTGTACAGACTGTAAGCTACCTACACCTTTCCTCCTCCGAGTGTCAGGTATTTTGTCTCAGCAACGAGGAATGACTAATCGTTTAGTCTCCTCAGGAAATCCAGCGGAATCTCGCCACCTCCTGCACTGGCCCTGAGAGCAAACCTTTCCTTGGCTTTCTCTGCAGCTGCACACCTGCCCTCTGGCCCTCCAGGGCAGAAAGGGCCCACAGCAAGCACCAGGGCGCACCACCTGCCCATGTCCATAGGAAAGGCCTGACAACACTCCGTTATTGGGGGCAGTGACAGATGTCTTCCATGTGCTGACATCTGGTAGCTTCCTTGTAACTGACCGAAGACGCTGCTGAAAAGGGTCCACCTCAGAGAGAAGCACTGTCGCAGGCAGAGGTCCAGTGTCACTGCAGGTCGTGCACAGTCCGAGCTGCCTCTGGGGTGTTCAGGGTGCCCCCAAAGCTGTGTGACGCTGGCTTGTCCCAACGTGGTGCTCTAGGCCCCAGGTAGGGGTTCCATTAAGAGGTTTTTCCAGGAGGGCATGTCTCCTGACTTGTACATGCAACACACACACAGAATGAAGAGTCAGTGAATAGGCCAAGGCTGGCCTCCCAGCCCCGTGTCAGCATCCTAAGCTAAACCGCTTCACGGGCTCGGAGTCCAGAGGTCGACTCCGTCTAAGGGAAGAAGATCTCTTCAGCGGCACGTCCCCGAGGAGGCTCAACACCCTTGCCAGGACAAGGGTGCCCTGCAGGAGGGACTCCCATAACCTGACAGGAGCCAGCACAGGATCGGAATGGACAGGGACAGTGACACAGGCACACCAGGAGCAGCAGCGTGACCTGTAGCCACGCAGGGAGAGAAAGGCAGCTGGCTCGGTGCTCTCATGGGCCCTGCCTTGAGTACAACGGGCACAAGCTCAGCGGCTGGTCTGTGAAAAGCCTTCCCGCAGAACGGACCAGCTGCACCAGGAACCCAGACCCTGAAGGGCCCTCAGACTCCGGCGGGAGGCTCTCTGCAGCTGCTGCCCACTCACGCCTCCCGGCCAGGGCCAAGGACAGGGCCAGGTGACCGCCGGTGGGGATGTGCGCGTGCCTGCAGTGCCCACAGACACTGACAGATGGCAAACTACCCACACTCTGCCACGGATATTAGAGACCGGGCCAGACACTGTCGTAAGGGCAAGAGACACAGAAGCACCCGAGCGCAGTTCTTAGCTCTCACATGGGGGTTACCCTTGACATTGCAGTTTGGGAGTCTTGAACTGACTCACAAAGTGCACCCACCCACCTCGCACTGCACTGTGCTTCCTAGGGAGATGCACACCCACCGCAGGCTTCTCTAGTCCGCTCAGCCACTCCTGCATTACCTGTTATGATTCACTTTAGTCTGAAGAGAGAACAGTAAAGACAAACATGGCACACATTAAAACTGGTGGTGCTACTTTTAAAAATCACCTACAATCATTATCTATGATTTATATTTAAAATGCATATGTAAATTTTATGAGGTTCCTTCTTGTTAAGCCCAACAGAACTCCAGGCAGTTATTACAATTCAACTCCATGCAGCATTAACTTCTCTTCTCTTCCGATTCTTCTGTTAATTCCACCTTCTTTTTTGACGCCTTTTGATCTCTGGAATATTGTTCAAATATTGGCTGATAGATGTATATTCCTCCAGCAATTCCCACGACGCCAGCAAGCAGCAGCTGCGGAAGACTCAGTCTCCCAAACGCCATCCCAGCAAGCAGCACCATACAAAGGGGGCCTGGAAACGCTGTTGTCCACACCTGGCCAGTCTCGTGAGAGCTGTGTAAAAACAGATGGGAGGCAAAGCAGGGACTTAGTAGAGGACGCGCTGTGGCCTTCTTCGCTCTGGGGTGAGCAGCATTTTTATAAGTGAGAACTGCTTACTAAAACAGGAACACAAACACAGCGGGATGAAGTTCGGGAAACAAGGTCAGGGCATGGTGTAAGCCAAGCCACAGCTTTCCTATTACAGAAGCTTCTCAGTGATTTCAAAAACCTCCTGCCTGTAAGGGTGGGACGCAAAACATCACTAAGCAAGGTGTAAGTGATGGCTCAGAGAAATCTGTCACTAAAGAAAGCTTAGACAAAGAATTACCACATTTCATTAGCTCTCTATTATTCATACTTTTCAGCAACACGCGCGATAAAATCAATTTTTAGAGGCAAAAACTGGCCAGGTGGCGGCGCACGCCTGTCACCGCAGCCCTCCTGCAGGCCGCGGCAGGTCAGAGCCCAACCAGAGGGACTTAGGGGGTTAGCAAGGGCCTGTCTCAAAGCTGAAACTCGAGGGGTGAACATGCAGCTCAGGGCGAAACCGCTGGGTCCGTACCCGTTATGACACGGAGACCACGACGCTTTACGAGTTGCCTTTGATTTAGAAACCTGGCATCGGGGCCGGGGAGATGGCTCAGTACAACCAGCTATTCCCTGGCAAGCGCAAGGGCCTGAGTTCAATCCCCGGTTCCGCCAAAAAAAAAAGAACAAAGAAATCTGGCATCAAAGCTAGGCGTGGTGGCGCGTGCCTGTAATCCCAGCACTAGGGAGGCTGAGGCAGGAGTATCATTGTGAGTTCGAGACCAGCCCGAACGGCACAGCAAGCCCCTGGCAAGAAAGGAAAGGAAAGAAATCCAGCATCAAACATAAGCACCCGCCATTATCAAATCTACGATGGGGCGCGGTGGTACACGCCAGGAATCTCAGCTTCCGGCAGGCTGAGAGAGGCAGGATTGAAACTGGGGACCAGTCTGGGAAACTAAGCCAGTGTCAAAATTAAGAGGACTAGGGATGGTTTCCGGCTACGGCCCCTCCCTCGCATACCGCGTTAGCAAATGCACACAGATTTACATTACACACGCCCGGAAAGTTTGGCGTCCTGCGGTCCGCCTGCGGCCCGGAAGACGAAAGCCGCGGCCACCCAGCGGAGAACCGCGCAGGCGCCCGCTGAGGCCCCGCCCCTCCCGACAGACCCTGCGCCGCCGGCGACGGCACCCCGAGAGGCCCAAACCTAATCCGACGGCGGCCCGCGAGGCCCAAACCAAGGCGACGGCAGCCCGCGGGGCCCAAACCTAAGCCGGCGGCGCTGCGGAAGGACTGCAGCCCAGTTCCGCCCTTCGCCGCGCGCCCTCGCAGGATGGAGCCGGAGAGCGGCGCCGGCCGCCTCGCTTTCCGCGGCTCATACAGCCGCTCCCGGGAGCAGGGGAGGCCGCAAACGAGAGAGTCGGCCCTGGACGCCCGAGGGCCGCGCCC